CAGCAAGTCTCACGATGGAGACGTTACTGGGCCCGCTCAAGCAAAATTGATGAAAATGGGAGGACCGTGACCGTGATGTTATAGACAGTGATATAGTAATTGGGAAGGTAGCCTAGTGATACATGAACATCAACAAGTTAATTTCAGTTTTCAGGTCACATATCTTTTTTCAAGTCACATAATTTAATACTAGAAAATAACTCCTTGTCCCCCCCGCCCTCCCCACAACCTTGGACGCTTGCATGCTGTCTCCAGAGGGGCATAAAGTAAGTCTTGGAGCTTGAGTCCTTGCAGGTCCCACAGCGTTTTTAGCGTGAAGATACCTATTTTTATTCAATGTGGCTGCTCTTCCCTTTTCCCATCAGCCACTGCATAACAGAAATAACCACAAATAGGAGAGATTAGACTTGTGTAATAGCCTGATCCATTTTATCCCTTCAGAAAGCTGAAGTTGTTCAAGGATAATACAGACAAGATATGTCAGCAGAGCTGAGCAAAAGTAAAGCCTTTCATTCACAGCAAAGCTTGCAGTTCAGGTGATGTTCCACAAAGACCATTTGCTTTAGGAAACAGCTCTTCCTTGCAGCCTACACATTGATGGCAGAAATTAGGCACATTTCCATTTATAATAAAGCACGGGCAAGTTTGGAAGTCCAACTTAGAATTGGGGGTGATCAAGAATAGCTGAGAGAAGTACCAGGAGGTTCACTCCATGGCTTGGAGGCCAACCACACATGCTGGGGGAAAGGCAGCTCAGATAGATAAGGGAGCACCAAGTAAAGGGTGTTGGGAGGATCCTCCCAGAATGGGAGACACATGCTGAAAGCAGACTATAGACCGAACATGATTGCCACTCAATGCCTCTTTTGCAAACCACAGCACCCAAAAGGAGAGAGAGAAAACAAAAGTAAATGCCCTGCCACAGAGGCAGGGTGGGGTGGGGGGGATGGGGGGTGGGAGGGATACTGGGATCAGTGGTGGTGGAAAATGGGCACTGGTGGAGGGATGGGTACTCGATCATTGTATAATTGAAACCCAAGCACAAAAATTTGTAAGTCTACTAACTGTACCTCATGGTGTTTCATTAGTAAAAATAAAAAAAAAGAATTGGGGGGTGTTTACCCTATAATATCATAGGTTACTTTATTTTTCCCTCCAGTTTTTATTGAGAAGTGGGATTTACAATACTGTTAGTGATAGAGTCCCATGCATATAATGTTCCCGCCACACCCACCACCAGAGTGTCAGTGTTCTCCTACCAGTGTCCTCCAACTCTCTACCCCTACCTCCCTTGGTAAGCTCAGTGCTGTTGGCCAACTCTCAGGTTCTGTGGCTTTTGGCTTCTTACTACTCCCTTACTATGCTCTTTATACCCCACATAGGATAGAGATCATTCTACTTCTGTCTTTCTCCTTTTCACTCACTTTACTCAGCAAGAAACTCTCTACCTTCACCCACAGAGTGGCAAACTGCATGATTTCATCTTTTCGTTTAATTGAGAAGTATTCTATTATACACACACACACACACACACACACACACACATACACACCACTTTATTTTCTTTTTTGTTTTTGTTTGTTTTTTGTTTGGGGGTCACACTTAGCAATGCTTAGGGGTTACTCCTGGCTCTGCACTCAGGAATTTATCCAGGTGGCGATGGGGTACCATATGGATGCTGGGGATTGAACTTGGGTTGATCACATGCAACTCCTGTGCTAGACTATCTCTCCAACCCTACTACAATTTCTTTAGACACTAATTTGTTCCTAGACACTTGGGTTGTTTCAAGGTTTTGGCTATTGTGAATAGTGCTGCAATGAACACAGAAATGCAAATGTCTTTTTCAAAATTGTGTCTGGGGGCCTTTGGGATAGATACCAAGAAGTGGAATTGTTGGATATGGAAATTTAATTCTTAGTTTTTAAATAATTGTTCATAGTGCTTTCCAAGGGTTGGAGTGATAGCACAGTGCTTTGCATGCGGCTGACCTGGCCAACCCAGCTTCGATTCTTCTGCCCCTCTCAGAGAGCCCAGCACGCTACCGAGTGTATCTTGCCCACATAGCAAAGCCTGGCAAGCTACCCGTGACGTATTCTATATGCCAAACTTGGTTTGCTTGTTTGACCAGCAGCATTGAATCATTGAACATGTCTGTAGAGTTAATATCATGAAGCATTCAGCCTATGTTTGTCTCACAAACACAGTAAAAAGTGTCACAATGGAGACGTTACTGGGCCCGCTTGAGCCAGTCGATGAACAATGGGAGGAGAGTGACAGTGACTGCTTTCCAAAAGGTTTGAACCAGTCAACAATAACACCAATACTGGATGAAGGTTCTTATCCCTTTCATCCCTACCAGTACTAGTTGTTTCTGAATTTTTTTTCAAATGTCTGCCAATAACACTAATATGAGGTGATATCTCATTGTTTTTGATCCACATTTCCCCAGTGATAAATTATTAAGAGCACTCCTTATATACCTAAAGGCCATTTGTATGTCTTCATTGAGGAATTGTCTCTTCAGCTATTCTTGTTCTTTTGATGGGATTGTTTGTTTTGTTGTTGCTAAGTTTTGCAACTTCTTTATATATCTTGGATATGAACTCTTTGTCAGATGAGTGGAGAACAAATATTTTCTCCCAATCTGCTGGGTCTTTTTTCATTCTAGTCATCATTTCTTTTGCAAGGCAGTACTTTCTAATTTTATACAGTCCCATTTGATTTTGGTTTGCTTGTTTTTTTTTTAATTTTTAAAAAAAATTTTTTTTAGTGAAACACCATGAGGTACAGTTGTAGACTTACAAATTTTTGTGCTTGGGTTTCAGTTATACCCATCCCTCCACCAGTGCCCATTCTCCACCACCACTGATCCCAGTATCCCTCCCACCTCCCATCCCCCTAATCCCACCCTGCCTCTGTGGCAGGGCATTCCCTTTTGTTCTCTCTCTCCTTTTAGGAGAGAGTTAGAGTAAGGTGCTGTGGTTTGCAAAAGAGGCATTGAGTGGCAATCATGTTCGGTCTATAGTCTACTTTCAGCATGCATCTCCCATCCTGGGAGGATCCTCCCAACACCCTTTATTTGGTGCTCCCTTCTCTATCTGAGCTGCCTTTTCCCCTAACATGTGCGGCTGGCCTCCAAGCCATGGAGTAATCCTCCTGGTACTTATCTTGGCTATTCTTGGGTGTTAGTCTCCTATTTTGTTACTTTATGTTCCCCAGATGAATGCAATCCTTCTGTCTGTCCCTCTCTTTCTGACTCATTTCGCTTAGCATGATACTTTCCATGTAGTACCATTTGTATGTAAATTTCATGACTTCATCTTTTCTAACAACTACATAGTACTCCATTGTGTAGATGTACCAACGTTTCTTTAATTAGTCATCTGTTCTTGGGCACTCAGGTTTTTTCCAGATTCTAGCTATTGTAAACAGTGCTGCAATGAAGAGACAAGTGCATATGTCACTTCGACTATACTTTTTTGCCTCTCTGAGATATATTCCCAGGAGTGGTATTGCTGGGTCAAATGGGAGCTTGTTTTGCTTGTTTGACCAGCAGCATTGAATCATCGAACATGTCTGTAGAGTTAATATCATGAAGCATTCAGCCTATGTTTGTCTCACTAAAATTCGTAGACTCAGATCTCGTATTGAGCCTGTAAGTTATTTTTAACTGATTTTTATATATGTAGTGATAGCACAGTGGTAGGGCGTTTGCCTTGCAAGCCACCGGCCGGGCCGAGCCGGGTTCAATTCCTCCACCCGTCTTGGAGAGCCCAGCAAGCTTCCGAGAGTATTTTGTCCATGCAGCAAAGCCTTGCAAGCTTCCCGTGACGTATTCGATATGCCAAACACAGTAACAAGTCTCACAATAGAGATGTTACTGGGTCCACTCGAGCAAATCGATGAACAACGGGTGGACAGTGCTACAGTGCTTTTATATATAGCATGCAACGGAGGTCTGAGTTAATTGTTTTAACTGAGAAATTTTTCCGACACCATTAATAAAAATATCCTTGCTTTCTTTGTATTCCTAGCTCCTTTGCTGAACATTAGTTGTCCACATATCCCTGGGCTCTCAAATCTATTTCATTGATCTGAAAGTCTGTCTTTATTCCAGTACCACACTGTCTTGATTACATAATATTGCAACTTTGGCAATTCACGGGATTTTATTACTCCACACAGTTACTTTATTTTCAATAGAGAGGGGTGGAAAGTCAAAGGGCTGAGCAATATACTCTCAAGAAATCCATTTGGGCCAGGGATATGGCTCAAGAAGTGGAGCACACACCTTGCATGTGCAGTGTCCTGGGCTTGATGCCACTGAAGCTGTTCCCCAGCTCTGTCACCATCGATGATGCCCTCACCTTCACCACTACAAGAATTTTGTTCCATTTCCTCCATAGGTTTTAATTTTGCTTTGCTTTTAGGGGGTCACACCTAGCTGTGCTGAGGGTTAGCTGCTGGTTCTGAGCTCAGAGATCACTCCTAGAGGGTTTGAGGATCCATCTGAGATGCTGGGGATTGAATCTGGGTCAGCTATATGCAAAGCAAGCATTCTACCTGCTATACGGTTGCACTGACCCCTCTGTCCTTTAATTTTTAACATTTCAGCAAATCGATTTAAATACCACAGAAGTCCCTAGGTGCAGAAACATCAAGGGGAAAAAAAACCCCAGACAAATACAAGAAAAAGTGTTTTTGTTTTTAAGGTGAACGTTTCTTGAAAGGGTGAATTAAAAATTTTGGAAGGGGTAAGTGGTAACACTGCTTTCAGAAATAAGATTGGAGGAAAGCTAGGAGACCAAGATTTGGTTAGCATCATATCCTGGAGGCCTAATAAATGAAGTGTTTGATAAAAGAGACATCATTAAAGGGATTTATATATGTCCATTTGCATGAATTAGCCAAGCCCAGACAAGTGCTGAGCTGAAACGAAGGTTACTGGTTTCCCCAGACAAGATATCAATGAGTACCAGACAGCGGCATGAACCAACCTTTCCAGCCAGTGTCGACAGGTCATGGCCTCCAATGATCTGCATCTCGCCCATGGACTGGTCATTCTACAAAGAAAGTAAGGGGGCACACAATTTTACTATTCAAGGATAACTTCAAAGTGAATATTCTACTGGTTGTCCGGCTGATTTTCCTATCTACCCAGTCTGGATTGGATTGCAACTCCCGAGTCCAGTGTACAGAACTTGCCGGGATTCCTGGTCATTAAAAGGTTTTCAGGCCACGCTGGCTACTGGGCTTCCCACAAAGACTCCTCATGTCTGGTGGGGAGAAGCTGCAAAATGAGAAGGATAGAAGAGGTATAGAGAGGAAAATGCACCTAATTTGGGAACAAAAGGCTATGGGAGGGGTTGGAATCTCTCCTCCAACAGATGGAATGGGAGAAGATGGTCCTCCAGGCACTGTGGTCCCCGCTGAGTGCACCCGGCACCCACCAACTGGCCAAATGTCTCACCAATGGCCCAACCAGAGGCTGGGGTAGGATCCTTCTCTGCCCCTATCCCTTTAACTCTTGTTCCTTCTCAGGGGTTGAGACAGGCCAGGGAGCAAGAACCATTCCCCTTACCCCTTCAGACACTCAGCAACCCTCCACAGAGACATACGGTTTAAACAGACATTCTACGGCAGTTTTTGACCAAGCAAGGATACTGTCTGCCGCGTTGCAATCATCAGGTCAGACATTAAGCTAAGGCCTACGGGAGAGCCCCACATGATACCAGTTCAGCTATTTCCCCTCTTACTCAGGGAAAAAAGCCCTTTAGGAGGAATAAGAGGGGGATAGGAGATTGAGGTTGGGAGCACACCCAGGCACTATTCCTGGTTCTGTGCTCAAGAGAGATTCCTGGAGTTGCAGGGGTGTTGTTGTGATGTTGTTGTTGTGATGTTGAGCATTGGACCATGGTTGATTGCATGCAAAGCAAATGCCTTCTCCCCTGTACTATCTCTATGGTCTTCCCCCAAATATCCCATTTGAAGAGAGACTTCTTTCTTATGGACCAGGCAGCCTAGGCCCTTACTTATGGCTGTCAACTTCCCCAGAATCTCCATCTAGCCTCTTCATCAGGCTCTCCAGCTACTTCAGCTAATTCATCCCTTTAGGCAGTTGTTTAGGTTGCTTGTCAATTGCAAAGTGGGTTCCATCATTTGTGTCTGAGATCTAGGGTTCCTTTGTAGGAGACTTGATCATCAAGGAAAGGGAAAAATCAGCCAGACAACCAATAGAATATTCGTTCATAGAGAAGTTTTTCTTTTATTCTCCTCCTCCAAATGTGGTGGGCTGTGAAGATGTCAAAATACGTTTACTTTTGCTTTGTAAAGCATTGTTCTCACTAGAGGAGTGGAGAGAACTCATGGAAGTGAAGAGAAGCTTATGTTACTTCATGTGGCAGTTCCCATGAAAGTGATAACTCAGATAAAAACCAGTACCTTCTTCTCTTCATGGAAGTGATCTCAAAAAGGAGAAAAATCAAAGTATATCTAGAATCCACTGAACATATTTGCATGGGCATTATGCAATCATATATATAAGTCATGTCAACATGCTAAGAACTTTTCAAATAATGTCAAGGGCTAGGGCTAGAGAGAGTTTTAACACACTGAGGACATGTGGGAGGCCTGGGTTCAATCCCCATTGTGGCCTTCATGGTCCTCCTAGTGCCCCAGGGGAGTGACCTTCAGCACAGAGCTGGGAGTAGTCTCTGAGCCTTGCCAGGTGTTACCCCAAAAGAAAACAAAAGTCAAGAGCCAAGGAGATAGCTCTGAGGTTGGAATACATGCCTGGGAAAAAGGAGGCACCACTTGGAATCTCCCAAAGAAAACGTCAAAAGAGAAACATTTTTGTCACTTTCAGAGGTGCTGAGATATAGGAGTTAACTTTGTTACATTATTTTGGGTGTGTATTAGACTCAAATATGTTGTTAATAACAGCAGGAAAAAGAAAATTTCAGTATCCCGAGAACTGAGCTATGTAGAATTGGCCCCAACTGCTAAACCACAGAGTGTAATGTAACAACTGAGATTTATATTCTGCCAGATCAGAGTAAATGTCACAACAATTCTATTATCTCCATTCTATTGATTAAAAACAAAAACAGCCCACAGCACCTCAGAAATCTCCACCCTGTGCTGCCACATATTTGGCGTGTTGCAAAAATGGTCCTACAGCAGAAGGACTTCTTGGTTCAAGATTATAAACATGTTTTTTTAATATTAACTTTGTTTTGTCCTTAGTTTATCTGGAACTCTTATCTTCCAAATGTGTATACAGACAATTGTCCAGGACCATTTATCAAATTGTTTATGTTTTTCTCCTTACCAGTTTGAAATTTGGTGGTGGTGAGGGAGGTATTTGGCTGTATGTGGTGGTGCTCAGGGGATACTTCTGGCTCTGAGCTCAGGGACCCCTGGCAGTGCATGTGATAGGGATAGAATCAGTATCTAATATGTGCAAGACAAACACCCTAACCCTTGGACTATCTCTCAGACTCTGAAACTTTTTTTTCCCCTAAAAAGTTTAAAAGTTCATTCTCATGGGTGTGGTTTCTATTTGTATATTCTATTTTCTTAACCTACATGATCTAGTTCAACATCCTGATCATACTATTAAATTATTATTATTTTTTTCAGTCTTTCTTAGGATTTGGTATGGTAAGTCTCATTTCTTGCACTTTAAAAAATTTCCTTGGAGCCGGAGTGATAGTACCATGGGGTAGAGCATTTGACTTGCACACTGCAGACCCAGGTTCGATCTCCGGCATCCCGTATGGTCCCCTGAGTACTGCCAGGAGTAATTCCTGAGTGGAGAGCAAGGAGTAATCCCTGAGCATCACTGGGTGATACCCAAAAAGCCAAAACAAAAAAAATTGCTTTGGCTAATTTGTATATTTATTTTCCTACTAGGTGGTTGTTATAAAGTTAAAATTAATTTGTATGTAGAGCATTTAGAACAGAGTCTGGCACATAGGAAGCACTTAGTAAGTGCTAATTATGATTCCCTCTCTCTCTTCCTCCCTCCCTTCCTCCCTCTCTTCCTCCCTTCTTCCCTTCCTCCTTCTCTTCTTTCATCCCTCCCTTCTCAGAAACAGTCACCCTCAGTTCTCCATGGTACTCTGGAGCCTGGAGCTACCCTGGTTTAATCACTCCAAAAAATAAGCCAAGCCATTGTCTGTTGCTGGAACAGTGCCAGGAATTTAGAAGTTCAAGTTCTCTATTCATATGCTTTCCATCAATTTCTGCTTTCCATCCATTTCTCTCTCGCCCCACCTTTTAAGAACCTGGTAGTGTTAACTCGTGAAACTTTCAGGAATTCTCGGGCACTAATGTCCTACTTCTCATTGACATCTCTCTCCACAGGCACTTAGGTTTTCACATCCTCTGATCTGCTCAGTGTCGTTCCTTAATCAGTTTTATATGCTAAAATCACTGACCATTTTTGGGACTGGAGCGATAGCACAACAGGGATGGCATTTGCCTTGCATGCGGCTGCCCCAGGTTTGATTCCCAGCATCCCATACGGTCCCCCGAACACCATCAGGAGTGATTCCTGAGTGCAGAGCCAGGAGTAACCCTGAGCATCACCAGGTATGACCCAAAAAGCAAAAAGCAAAATAAAAAATAAATAAATAAAAAAACAAAAATACTGACCATTTTTACCCACATTGACATCTCCTCTAACCATTGTCCTTCTGTTTACTTTAGTAGGGCTGGGGTGGAGGTTGGGGCAGGAAGGCTAATTGTATGTCAAATAATTTACATACAATTAAAATAATTTACAGAAAATAAATTACCCCTGATATTTTTCTAGTGATTAAAAATGCATCCTAAGATTGACATTATTTCAAACATCATTGTTTTAAATTAGTTATTACTTTTAGATGGGATTGTTCACCTTATTTTTATAAGATGGTTCAATAGTTTCCTTTTGCTACCCTTGTGGATTTTAAGGACTCATTTTATTTAGCTTCATTATAGAGTTGGATGGCTTTTCATTTTATTTTATATGTTCTAAAAGAATTTGTAAATGGATTTACCTAGTTTGCTAAGTTTCAGACGAACCCCGAATAGAGGTATTTGTCCCAATTTACAAAGGAGAAATCCAAGGCACTAAGTTGAAGTAACTTGTGAGAAGGTGACGGAATCTGGTTAAATCCTAAATTGCCAGATTTTTGTGCTATTCTGGTATAAACCTTCTCCACATCACTTTTCCAAGAAGAAAGAAGCCAGGACAGAGAATAGGATGGAGGAGAGACCTTGGTTATGCTGATGAAGTAAACTGCATAGCAGAGCCAGCAAGGAGGAAGCAACCCTTGGGTTTAAATTCTGGGAGCAGTTACACACGTTTATTTATCTATTTTGTTTTATTTAGTTCATTAATTAATTAATTTGCCGTGTGGGCGGAATACTCTCGGTAGCTTGCCTGGCTCTTCAAGACGGACAGAGGAATCAAACCTGGGTTGGCTGCACGCATGGCAAACACCTTACCCACACGGCAAAGCCTGGCAAGATACCCATGACGTATTGGATATGTCAAAAACAGTAACAATAAGTCTTACAATGGAGATATTACTGGTGCCCACTCGAGCAAAATTGATGAACAACGGGAGGACAGTGACAGTGACAGTGACAGTGACCTGGCAATGCTCAGGGGTTAATCCTGGCTCTGCACTCAGGAATTATTCCTGATGGTGCTCGGGGGACTGTATGGGATGCCGGGATCAAACCCACGTTGGCCGCGTGCAAGGCAAACGCCCTCCCCGCTGTGCTATCGCTCTATTTTAATGTTTTTTTTTTTTTTTTTGGTGGGGGTGGAATTGGATCCTACTTGGTGTACTAAGGGGCCACTCTGGCTTTGTGCTTAGGAGTGGCTAGTGGTGCTGGGATTTAGCCAAGGACACTGGAGGTGGCCACATGCAAGGCAAGTACCTTTTTTCAACTTGTATGGATTTATTTATTTATTTATTTATTTATTTATTGTTTTGGGCTACTCTGGCTCTGTTCAGGGATTCCTCTGGGCTCTGCATTTAGGGATCATTCCTGGTGGACTCCGGGG